GGGGCGTCTCAAGAAACGACGTGTACCTCGAAAGAGTCGTCTTGCCGTCAAATGAACCATATTCATACCTCGGGGAAATCGTGTTGCAGCTCTTGCAATGGTATCCGTGGCGGTAGGACTTGCTAGACCAAACAGACGCTGCTCACCGAGGCATCTGAACACCGAGAGCAAGCAACCAGTAGATCATAGAGAGATTCGGCAAAAACCAGAGTGATATGGGCAAAAGGGTCAAAACGTATATCGTCATCGAAATGGAAACGGAAAGTCTACCGAGAATGCCAGCCCAGCCCTCTCCATCGTAACCGGCAAACTCCTTGTCCGTCCACAACCACCACTCATCGATTTTGCGCCGGTTGTCTCAATACTTCCCGCTGTCGTCCTCTTTGGCACTGTGCATGTTGAAGGGGCCGGATTTGACGTTCGGCGAGGTGGCGCGCCATAGCTAGACTATGGCGCTCTCCTCGACACTGACGCCGGCAAAGCGCGGCCGCGCTGTTGGTATTGCCGAACTTTCTCCGACTGCACTATGCACAAGTGCAAGGGGACGCTCGTTAGCGCCGAGTACAGCTGGGCGAGCTTGTTGGTGAACAGGACGTCAGCCAGCTTCCGCTGCCCGTACCAGTCCATGCCACCGTAGCCTCCCTCTACATGTTACGTTGGACTCATAGCCGTTCCTTGGGCCGAGACTCAATAAGGGCTCACGTGCGTGGCATGACAGCCAGTATGTTTGGTAAAAAGAATCAACGGAGAGGATGCCATATCGACACAAGTCACGATGCTACTGTCTACGACTGCTATTGCAAAAGGGGTGCAAAGTGCGAAGTTTCTCTCGACAATGCACTTCGCTTTTTGGAAAGATGGTGATCCCGAAGGCAATTACGTCAGAGATATGGAAACATGTTGCGCCATTAGAGTGTGGTCTGGTCAAGCACTGAGGCGATTTTAGATTGAAGGCTCACTGTTTTCTCTTCAATGAATTAATATGTCGTTGGCTGTCAAACAAGTACTTTCGCGTATTGCCTATCTATGAGGGCATAGGTCCGAAGCCTTAAGGTATCAACAGCGATTCAGTCTGATTAGAGACAAAACAGAGACTTCATCCATTCAGGCCAAGGAGTGACTAATCGTTCTCGATATCATTCTTGCCCCGAAACGTTTTGCAAGTAGCGTGGTATATGTGCGTAAAGTAGTGGGAGAACGGGCTAAGGGTGATGTTGTACCGAATGTTTGCTAGGAAAGTGGAAAGGCATGTGTATGCGTTAGGACGATTCTCCGAGAGATGAGCACTGCAAGATCCATTAGTATCGACACGAGCAAATATCGATGCCATCCAAGAAGTCCCAACACTTGCCGCATATCAGGGAAGCCAACGCGAGCGTCGGTCACACCGATGGTTATGTTCCAATTTTTCCCGGACTTTCGCTAGACTTTAGGGTCACTTTCCGGAATCTCAAGGAGAGATTCTGGGTCCTCGTCATAGTGTCACTCTCATCCTCAGCTGTAGCCCTGCCCTTGATCTTAGCCTTGCCTTTCATCTTGGACTTCTCCCGGTCTTCGGAATCGTTCTCCTCTATCTCTTTCTCTTGAAGCTCTGGATCCTCGCTGTCGGTCACACTCTCGTCTTCGGACGCAGTCCTATCAGGAGAGGATGATCTAGACGAGGTAATTGCACTTCTCCCTCACGATTCTGACTTATTGCAAAGTGTCGCTGGAGGTGAAAATGACGCAAACATCGAGAAGTTTGTCAATGCAGCAGATGTGTTGGACAATGTCCAAATCGAACCCAAAGATGTGAAAAGTTTCAAAGCAGACAGAAAGGTCAGAGGAACGCCAGAAATCAGAGCAGATTTCGAAGGCACCCCTGAGCATTCATGTCTGCGTGAGGTGTTGAGGGTCAAGTACGGTTGCGAGAAGCCGGTGCATTACCCGGGCTATGCGATGCTGGAGGACCATGAAACCTTCCGTTTCGTAGATCCCCAACCATACGGCAACGCCACAAAGATGACCATCGTCAAGAAGTCGGCGGCTGCTAAAGACGAGGAGGAAGAAGAGGAAGAAGAAGGAGAAGACGATGCTGAAGGGAGGCCAACAAACGTCGCAAGCCTGGTCCGGCAATCTTCTACTTTTCTTTCGGCCCGCATGGCTTCACAAGAAGAACTAAATGAGCAGGTTACGTACAATGCCAGCAGTGCCAATGCCATTGTAGATGCAGCGGCGCAGGAGGTCCAAAGGAGCATCGTAAGCGAATCGCCCATCAGGCCTGTACTATTTGAGACTGCTAACACCCATCTAGGCCGCGCAAGACAATCTGATGATGACCGACTACGAAAACGCACTAACCATGTTACTCAATGTCAGGGAAAGGCCTAGCGCAGCAGCAAACGCATCGCACGATGAGATTGTTTCCGTGCATGTTCATCGACACAAATACTTGACAATTGGTGGCACGTTCGCAAGTATTTCAAGGCAACGCGATTCCATATGAAAGAACATTACAACACCAGACTCCACAGCAAGTTCGAGCGTGACTTGGCCATTGTTTTCGCGGGAATTATAGGTGGATTTCACCAAACTCTTCCTTTCGTCCTCCTTGTCGAGGCTGTACTCCGCGGGATGTGGCGCGCACCTGTCCGGAGATGCGCTGAAACGGACTCGGTCCTCAAGCCCCTCTTCGACGAGGCCACTCTGTTCTGTTCTGGTACCGCTTTGAATGCCTGTGTTACACGCTGTACGACGGCCTCAATTTCTCTCTCTGCCCAAGATATCGGCAACAAGTGGTTCCCACGTCTGCGAGCCTTTAACCCACGATGCGCAAACGAAAATTGCAACCGCAACCTCCCTCGCGGTGAGGACCTGGACGACCACACCATTCGTGGACTCTTCTCCGTGGGCACACGGCAAGCACGCATCGGTCATCGGTGCATCAGAGACATGATATCACAGAATCGGGACTTTGGATATCTATGTCTGTACAGTATCCTCATGAGGGTACGCCCACACAGCATGCTCATCGTTCTTTTCTTCTGGTACTCTCACTTGTATCACAGTCTCGCATGCAAGGTTCATCGGGGCAAGCTCGGAATAGCCGTCTTCTAGTCAAGGCCGTCATGGCATCGCCGGCTCGATATATCGTTCTTTCAGTTCATCTTTCTTACTAAGCATATCGGCTGTCACGACAGGTACATGGGTTCTTAGTTCGCAAGGAGGCACACGTCAGATAGCGCGATTGTCAAATGATGATGTACTGAAATAGTAGCATAGTGTTAAACTAACCCAAGAAAAGTTTAACAGAGAGGTTAGCTTATCAATCGCCAATCCGAAAGGGCGTGGGTCCGTTTTCCACTCTCATCAGTACCATAAAGTACCACAGGTGGTGTTTCCTTTTGCCCTCATCTTGCACCTGAACATAAGGTTTTGGTCTAGGGAAAAGCTACACGTTTGATACAACATGTAGAAACAGCTTCCTACAGTGTGAGAATTCAAGGGACGGAGACATTCTCAACATGTAGAGGGGTTTTTTTTTTCAATAAGCTAAGTATAGAGATGATACTACTACTGGTGAAGGCTGGTCTATTGCTACCAGAGAGTATCAACTCGATCATGTACTACAACAGCGTGACAAGGTACGAAGGGTAGGGTCTTAGTTGGTATAGTCTACAATGCCGCTGTAAAGGTGACTATTTGGTGGAGTAATCATGTGATTAGATGCTCCCTTGGATGCTTTGCAGTCAATATATAATAGATCGTTTTGAGAAGAAACATGACAAATTGGATGGGCAGGACTGGAATGTATGGCAGCAGAACCATAAATGTCCGAGACATTGTGTATCAACAACACCAAGCTTATCCTTTCTAGTATATTCTGTGGTTACTCAGTTTTGAGCGTTGGCTTTCGTCATCCTACATTCGAGCTCGATTAACCGCGGCTAATAGCATGCCACCCTGCTCATTCTTCGCATAGCTATCAACTAAAATCATTTTGAATAGGTTTCCCTTGTTATAGCTCGGCATAAATAACGTCAGAATCTTCAATGTCCCGCTTAACTAGTCCGCGAGCGATCGACGAATCCAACGCATAATCACACACAACATGGCTCTACACTCTTGCGGAACCAGCCGCAAGATGGGTGTGCCTCCATCTGCGATTTCTGTTTACCGATAGTGCTTCGAATAGCGAAAGCATTGGTATCGTCAGTCAGTCACGCCATCTCAACTCGTGTAGGGTTTCCAAAGTTCATAGGAAATTGGCGATCTGCAAGCCTTGATGGGTGCCAAGCACCAATCGACGCAAGCAGCCGATCGCTTCCACGTGATTGACCGACAGTATCAACAGTTACCGTAACAGAGTCCATTCAGCCTGCTCTCTCAACAACCTCAAGCAATACACAGCGTTGCGATAAAGACCCCGAAAGAACCATCGAGGTCTAGATGTTCCACATGCCGTGAGCCGAGTTACTGGTCATGCCCTACACCGCGCTGTAGGCGATGACAGAAGCCAATGCGAAAGTTTCCGATCAAGTTCTATGTAGCTGCGGCGATGGAAATCCTCGCATCAAAAGATCCATTGTAACCGTTATTGGTGAGACCCAAGGTTATCGAATAGGGTTTTGAAACCAAACACTCGAGCTCTAGTAGAGAATGCCTTGAGCGACACAATTGCTCTCTCTCCTGTACTCGCTAATCCGAAAGGACTCAGCAAAACCCTCAACCACATACAAGGTGTGGCAGTCGTTGCCATTGGTGATAATTCATAGTCGTTGATTTGAATTCAGATACAAGACCGTATCCAATATTGTGTCGCCTTCGTTGGACGAGTGGTAATGCCCCTGTACTCAGCTTTCTGAGGAAAAAAAGCTATATTAATTCCTAAACCTTCCATACTGCAGGAAGCCGCTTGCGTTCTCCTCTACGTGTTGCATTAAACCCGTAGCCTTGCCTTAGACCGAGTCATTGCCTTTTCAGGGAGGCACAGAAGCAAAAAGAAACATCATATGTTGTGTTGATGAGAGTGGGATTCGAACCCACGCCCTTTCGGACCAGCGGTTGGGGGGTTTAACCTCTCGGTTAGACCTTCCTTAAGCTGGCGCCTTAGACCGCTCGGCCATCTCACCATTGGATGTTGTTGTTGTTGTTGTACTGGGTAAAAAACTAATATATAAAGCTTCAATCATTGAAATCGGGCACCAAGCGGGGAAGAACGCCTGGGAGCGGAAGATTTATCGCAAGTAGTGCTTAGAGCGATAAGATTGATCAGATAATACGTGGACTCGATCAGAAAGAGGTAGTGCGGGTGTGCGAAAACGTATCTGGCGGTTGAATTCATATGCGGGAGTAGCCGCAGCGTCACCAATTTATGTGCAGGTGATCCCGCATGATACCCGTACTGCGCCTTCCGTTGTGCACCTTCCTCATGATGCTCTCCAGAGACATTCTGAATAAGCTTAATGTGAGCTACCTTGGACCTCACGGCACGACTGAAAGAGGAAATGGGGGCAGCGCGTGACAAGGCGGCGCATGTCGAGCGGCCTCTCGCGAGCGATGTTGATACCATTTCATTCTTCTGGCATTAATCATTTCCTAGTTTTACATTGAATTGGATAATGAATCGTTTCCTGCCATTACATGTGTTCGAGCACCTCCCATATTATGCGTGTATTTTGAGGGCTCAAGGCCCATTGCTCGCGAGCGGCCTTGTATGTGCGTGTGACCGACCGTGCCTAAACATGGGGTCGTTTCGGTGTGCGGGAGCGATGCATTTATGCCGGTTCGTGAGGCTTCGAGAAGATGTGTGCAGGCGACGGCGTGTTTACCGCGAGCTGCTGATCAAGCGAGATCAAATGCTGAAATAGCCAGTGTGGTCGCAGAAATCACCAACTCCTCATTCCATCTACCATACCAAGTCCCCCCGACCTTCGCGATGCAGACATCTTCCGTCTCGATTCTCGATGTGCTTTGCACGGGCTTTCGCAACCACCAGACCCGAGTCCTTGCGTCGGATTCTTGATGCAAGTCTCAGGGTAAATGTCTACGGGTCACTTCCTCACGAATGCGTCACGATATCTCGAGAGCATATATGATGCCGTATCGGCTTCGAAGAAGAAAAACACCAGGGTCTCGTCCTTCATCCCTTCATCCCTTCATTCCAACGAACGGCTTTACATTCCACTGCGTGGATCGCTTGCCCATATCGGTAGTCCGTCCTGGGGTACACTCGCACCCGTTGGCTTCCCTTTGGCAAAATCTGCTACCGCACCGTTGATACCTGTAAGTGCCCATGCAAAGATAGCCTGGTCACGAATTGCATTCATGAAATCCTGCGAGCTGGGTCCGCCAGTACGCACTGGTGAGATGCTGTCGTGCCGAGCTCCTTGAGGTCCCAGTGAAGGCGCGAAAGTGCCACCGTAGCCTACAGCAGGTCGTTGGTCTATCGGTGGCAGCATCGGCTCCGCAGCCCAGGGTGCTGCAAAAAGACCACGGGGATATGCTGGTTGCGATGGGCGCGCGGTTGGGTGTGGTATCATTGGGCGCGCCCTACGCAGACACACCACAAGGCCATCTGAGGTGCAGGATATGACTGCCTCAAGTTCTATTGGGTCGTGTGAAATCAATGGATATGGCCTTCTCTCTGCTGGCGAAGGTGCGAGAGATGAAGCCGAAGATTCCGCTGCTCGTGAGGTTCCAAATATGCCTTCATGAGTGTCTGTCATGTATGTGCTTTCGTCGGAGGATGTCCGCGAATTCGGTTCCTTCTCTTCATTTGCGTCCATGCTGTTGGTGGATTGTGCAGCATTTGAATATGTGGAATACTGCGAAGACATGGTTCCATCTACCTGTCGCAAACCCACACCGCCCTCGTCAAGGTCTTCGCTCATTTCAGTCGTCGCTGCATCAGTCATTTCTTCATCACCGTCATCATCGTCATCGTCGTCGTCATGTTGTATAGGATCGTCCTCTCGGGGATCTCTGAACCAGAAACGTAAGTAGGCTACTGAATCATTGCCTTTGGCGTTTTCAAGGCATTTCACTGCGTCTTGCAGGCAATTCTCTGCTATGCAATGGTAGAAGCTTCGGCCGCGAATATGTGCTGCTGGAACCCCTATGATATCGTCAAGACCGCTGGTGGCATACATGATGGTCAATGTCCTTGTGAAACGGTTGAGGAAGAGTGCGGCTCGAGGTTCGTGTTCGTTATGTTTGTAGTCCTGAGAGAACTTATCCGAAAGGTGCGACAACATATGATATCGTGGGTCCCGTGGTGACGAGGAGAACATCCGCCTTACGACTGGCGCTGCTAGCGCTCGACCTATGCGTACATTAGAACGTGTGTACTAGTGTGGTTGGTGTGTTTCGTACCCTGACTCGAACTGCTTCTCTTGTATATGCTCGTACAGACGACCATGACGTCGTAAACCACCGTAAAACAGCACTCGCATCCTACCCAAGCACCATTCCTGTCTCTGACTCTACAGTATGCCAGAACGGCGGCTTTGTCCATCGATACTCTCTTCTCATGAAAGCGTTTGGCAAACGGGACTTCTTCTGGTGGGAAGAAGTCCCATGCTGAACGATTGACGATCTCATCTGGGGTGTAGCCGAGAATGTCGACGACGGAGTCGGATGAATATAGGATGTGCGCACCGGAGGTGAGATCTGTGGTATGCCGTCAGCACTGTTGGCTGAACATTCAATCCTGCGTGATAGCATGACAATATCTCTACAAGCGTAAATCCAGATGTCGATTCTGATAGGAGTAGATATAGCCATAGCCTGATATCCATGTGTCTGCGCAACACAGCGGATTCTCTCGTGAAGGTAGAGCCGACGCGAACTGATGCATTGCATGCAGGCCGTACCAGCTAGAGTGGAAAGGATGATTTCACGGAAACCTGGTCGCGTTGCTTACCATGGATTGAAATGAAAGTGGCCTCCATCGCGAGCCTTTAGAGCTTCAACATAGAGGGCTTGCGCCCCGAACGCACGTTGATGGCCCGGCAACTGCGATCCTGGTCGGGAGGGAGAGAGAGGGAGGGCCGTTTTATGGTTACTGATTGGGATTGGGTCGCTGCTGCGAAATGCCAAATCCTCAGGGACCTTAGTCAGGAGGTCGCGATCAGCTTTGCCACAGCAGCGTAGATGACTATCTGGCAGACGGGACCAGGCGAGGATCGAGGCTGGTGTTTGGACTGTATACCAGAGCAAGGATATCAAGCGCGTGTAGTTCAGATATTGGCCTATGGCAGTCGAGAATCTGTAGCAAGTGTGGACAGAAGGCGGCGAACGTTGCCAGTTGCTACAAACTACAGCTGAGTCTGAAGGGACCTGAGGCTGATACCCTGATGAATCAATTCTCAGTGCCAGCTGAAGTTATGACGTCCGCCACGAGTTGTAGTATAAGAAAGAGACCAGGCCATGCAGCACCGTTAGAAAGTGGGATTAAGCAAATTGGAGTGTCTGAATACGTGAGTATATGATGGCAGTCGCAAGACCCTGGTACGAAGGTGGCTAAACGTTCGTTCGATGCACAACCCGTGCAAAGCGGCTCTCTCCTGCGAGGGTCTGCACAGTGATGTAATGAATTTGCAATCCGTCCGCGCACAACCCTACACCTCTTCCCCGAATGCCTGTCCAAGTGCTGCTAACTGGAGGAGGAAATACCTTGTTACAGTGTCTCCTATTCCTTATGGTGCATCTATAGTCATGTAAGAAGATGTCACCTAGCTATCTGCTTTGTGCGCGCTACATCGTAAGCAATTGTCATGCAACACGCAACAAGGTAGCCCCATATATGGGCGGACTGTAGCTGTGGGTGTTGCAAAACGACACATAGGGAAGCTTGGGCACCCCAAATGCGAATAATACGTGCAGCTCGACAACAGCAGCAGCAAGACGCAAGGATGTTATTGGGTGGACTGTCGAATTGCAAGCGCTTATAGACCCTGTTGGATCATGGCATTTTACCGGCCATGTCATTTTAATCAGCGATGCGAAAAAGCAGAGAAATGAGTTTCGCGGAACCGGGCAATGCTTGCCCGGCGCATCTAGATTCAGGGCTCCTGAAACTCGTCAGTATTGCCGTAGGCCCTCATCTATCGTGATCACGACTCAAAGGCTAGACATTCACTATTGTCCTTAGAGTATAGGCGAGCTTGTGCGAGTCCATCAACCGGCAAAGTGACATGGCGCAGCAGCAGGGAAACTCGCGGTCAAGGCGGTCGATATTCTACCAACCTCGCGATCACGACAAGAGCCACATCCTAGTCTAATCAGCCCACTGAGGGTAGTAGTGGCCAAATGCCACGCATCACTTTTCCCACTGTCGTCTTGCATCGCATCCCTGGTGTTGCAGCCGGTCCGCCCGACCAATGACCTATCCGACCCTCACTACCAAAAGACCCCATTGCTGACTTAATGTAGTGTTCTGGATACATGTCGTACTGCACGACGGTGATAGACGGACGAGACGAGATGCCATACGGCAGAGTGATAATTGCTAGAGTGGGGACTTTGCATTTTCTGTCTTTGGAAAACCCATGCTTGGCACCTGTTACACTCTGCATTGTGCTAAGCTCAATAATAATGTAAAATACATAGTGTCGCCTTCTTAGAAAGACTTTCATCAATGCCTCTATAGAGCTGCACAAGAGCTTTTGACGTGTGCTCAGTAGAACATACATGCTTCGTCATTTGCGACACCGCAAGGCTTGCTCTTCCAAATCCTAGCTTCCTAAACACCGAAACGTCCGGCTACGCGCAGACGCGTCGAACTCATGGGTTTGTCGTTTACAATATCCGCCTTGGATGTTGGGTTTTTCTCATTGGAAACCCCAGACATCGTTCACTCTTTTAAAAGTCACATCCTTGCCTGTGATTGACGGTTGGGATTGATACCTAGCTGTTACGTCCTCCAAAACTGTTTGACCCAGATCGCACACATCTCATTACACTTTCGACAAGTGCTCTCCGACAGGTTTGCAGCAAAGTCGCTGCATCAGCCGATTCTGCCTGTACCTCGCTGCCTCCAGAGTGGATCCTTCCGAATCGGTATGCCTACGTCGGAACTTTTCCCTGCCCTCAAATGGTGTTCAAGAGTGATGGTAAGTTGGTAGAAACC